GAAACCGGCAAGTACGTCGGAGCGGAACTCACCCCCACGGTCGGAGTGGAGACAACGTACACGATTACCACGAGTGCCCTTAGTGGCCAGGAGCCACCGGATCAGCGTAGAAGTCACCTCGGACTTCTTCGCGAGGGGAAACACCGTGGTGTACCTGGAGTAGTCGTCAACGACCACGGGGAAGTAGCGCTCCCGCTCGGGTCCAAGACGAGGGGCTGGGCCTAGACGTCCAAGTGAAGGGTCGTGAAGGGAGCAGTGGCCGGACGAAGGGAGGAGGAGTGAGGAGCGGCGCCCAGCCAACCCTCGACGAAGGGAGGAGGAGTGCACGGCGGCGCAGGCGAGCGAGGGAGCGACTCAAAGACCCGCAGTTGACCTGAGACAAGACGCCTGCTGGCCATGCTACGGAGGCGTGGGAGGGACGGGTGACCTAGATAGTGATGCCACAAGACTGTTGGGTGGGAGAGTGACCGACAAGAGCAAGACGCAGCAACCTGACCTAAGGCAACTACCTGACCGGGCGCAGTAACCTGACCAAACGCAGCTACCTGGGGGGGCGGAATGTGCACGACGAAGAGACCTGAGTGAGGCTCTCTGGTGAACGTGGCAAGAACTGCCCCGGTGGACGCGTCCGTACAGATTGCACCCCTCCCGTGCGCAAGAAAAATGACTGTGATCCCATGGTCGTGAAGGTATCGAACACCCACCAAGTTCGGAGAGAACGAGGAGATGTAGAGTCCAGTGAGGACACCAGAGTGGACAGCAGGGCACAGGAGGGTGGTAGAACTGCGAGGGGCAACTGGGACCGGAGCAGCAAGATGTGTGACAGTTGTGTGGTCGCGGAAAGGCACTGGGATGCGCCAGAGTCCAGTGTGAAGGAGAGTGACGCGTCAGCAGTCGTAACTACAAAAGCACCTACACAAGAAGCACAAGCGCCTACACTGCCAACAGGCAAATGTTCTAAGCTGGGTAAACGCAAATCAAGAGATCCATACATGACAGAATAAACAGCATCCATAGACATATCAAACACACGGTAACCACTACGAGACAGACCGGGCCAGATCGGGGGAGCAGAGTGAGGCCCAAAACGCCCACGGTAAAGGTAGTCGAGGCGGCTGTAGATGCGCAGTGCAGAGTGGTCAGGACGCCAGCAAGTAGTACCAGCACGAGGGCCAGTCGGGATCCGGTACTAGCAGGGTCCAACGTCGCGGCCACCACGACTAGCCCTGCAGCTGTCTGGGCCAACGCTCCCCAAACCACTAGGCCCCCACTACTGCTGAGAGCGCCACTGCCGCTGAGGGCACCACTTCTGCTGAGAGCGCCACTGCTGCTGAGAGCGCCATGGCTGATGAGGTCCCCACTGCAAGAACTTCTGCTGATGCTGTCCCTGCTGCTGGAGAACACTAGTGAACGCCATCGTAAGAGGCTAGCGGGGCAAAGGGAAGGCAGGCTAGGAACAACTTGCGCAAGGAGCTGCTCGACCAGGAGTGGTTGGAGCTAGGAACGGCTGGAGTACGGAGTGATAAGGAACGGCAGGCTAGAGCTAAAAACGTATGGAGCTAGAAACGTCTGGAGCAAGAGTGGCTGGAGCTAGGAACGGCTGGAGCTAGGAGCTGCTGGAGCAGGAGTGGCTGGAGCTAGGAACGGCCGGAGCTAGGATCGGTTGGAGGTAGGAACAGCTAGGACCGCCATGCTAGGAACGGCTGGCACGAGGAGCGGCTGGAGCGAGGAGTGACAAGGGACGCCAGGCTAGAGCTATAAACGGATGGAGCTAGAACGGCTGGAGCACAACTCGCTGGAGATAGAAACGGCGAGCTAGGGCCGGCTGGAGGTAGGAACGGCTGGAGCTAGAGACTGTAAGTGCGGCTGTCGGTTGCCGCTAGTAGGGTCACTTGCAGTGGAAAGTACGTGCGGGAGTAGGGGCTGCAGTACGGACGGCTGCGGGATGTAGGCAGCTGTGCAGGTCGTCCGGCAGCCAGGAACACGGGCGACAGTTGCAGCCCCCCACCCTAAACCCTTTTTTGTTTTTGTTTTTTTTAGGGTTTAATTAATTAATATATATTTTTGGCGCTAAAGCGCTGTAGGGCGCGCTGCCTGCGGGGCGCGCTTCCCGCGGGGCGCGCTACCTGCGGGGCACGATACCTGCGGGGCGCGCTACCTGCGGGGCGCGATACCTGCGGGGCGTGCTACCTGTGGGGCGCACGGCCTACGGGGCGCACTGCCTGGGGGGCGCGTTGTTTGCGGGGGGCGCTGTCTGCATGGCACGCTGTCTGCGGGGCGCGCAACCTACGGTAGTGCGTGGCCGCCTAAGGCAGTGCGCGCCATCTTAAGGCAGCCTAAGGAAGAGCGCGGGGCAGCCTGAGGCAGAGCGCGGGGCAGCCTGAGGCAGAGCGCGGGGCAGCCTAAGGCAGAGTGCGGCAGCCTAAGGCAGAGAACGGGGCAGCCTAAGGCAGAGAACAGGGCAGCCTATGGCAGAGCACGGGCGCGCGTTTCTCTGCTGGGTGGCGCGCGCTACGTAGGCTAGGTGATTACGGAGCGACGGAGTGACTACGGAGCAGTGGAGCGGTACTAGGCTAGGAGCGTACCTACTAATGATACTATCTCAAGAGTGATGCATAGCGGAATGGTCATGACTAGCAAGATGGGAGATACAAATGCTAAACCTAGAAAGTATTGTACTCCCTACAACCCTACTCACTTTAGTCTATCAAGATAATGTATAGCATTTGACAATAGGGGCTATGGATGACGCCTAATGCTGGATGTTGAAAATCTTAAAACCAGGGTCACTCGTAGAATGGCATACAAATGGATACCACTCAAACCAGGTCCCATTCTACGGGACAATAAGGGCGCATTCCTGAGCTCGTGTCATCCGGTGTTGGTGTCATCCGAAAACTTTGGAACGCACGTGATTGGCTCGTTGTGATTTTTGGGCCAATTGCGTGAGTTCCAAAGTTTTCGGATGACACCAGCACCGGATGGCACGAGCTCAGGAATGCGCGCTAACACCGCTTGCTTCATACAAAGAATGACGCACTTGGTTTGAGAAGAGTCAAATATCTACCTCGTCTCCGAAGGAAGCCGAACTCGTCAAATCTGGGTAAATCACTCCAGAAAATCTCCGCCTGCTCCGCAGCATCTTTCTAATTCTACACGAACAATGAAGTCCCGCTTTCGTTCGACTCGCTGTAGATTCTTCCAGTTCTCGTCTCACCCAGCAAAAATCGGTGCGGGATTTCGTTTTGTTCCCTGGCCTTTTCGTTCTTTCCTCACCTCCTTGTCACCGCCTTTTCACTACTGGGTTTGGCCGAGGTCTTAGAATCACGTAACAGCATAAGCATCAGCAGTACACCATTCATGGTTGTGGAAGCAGCGTCAGCAGTCACGGCAAAATGTTGCTACCCTGCATCTGTCTTATATGGCATCCCAAAGTCAAAATATGAGAAAAATAGTGCTAGGGCGACACGAATGGATCACCATGACTCACAGACAGAAAGTACTACGTGTCTAGTAGACTGGGCGACACGACTGACTCACCATGACTGTTTCCTGAAAGACTGTTCTTAGGTATATCTGGGAGTTCTTTCCACACGTGTCTACATTTAAGAAAGTAGGGACAGGACAGCGAACTGCCTAGTACACGCGGCTGCATAAACAGTAGCACAGCAACTGACAGTCCCCCAACCAGCAGTGACATCCGGAGCGCATCTTTCGCCATGAGCCTCGCCGTCGCCATCATCGCCCTCGCACTACTAGTTTCGCCGCTTCCCCTTCTGCCCCAGACCCGTGCGGCCACGATCGCAACATTTCAATGTAAGAAACTCCGCGAATGTCATTTCTCACCTGGCCGACCTGTCACGCCCTCTCGCATCGGCTTCCGCCCTGCTGAGTGATTCTTTGATGCGACCCTGGACAAGCACTGCTTGTCACGTATTTCATTGCGTCTCTTTGGAAGACCCGTTTCCCGGCGTGTTTTCGTCTCACTTGATTTCAAACAAGATGCGCCGCGATCGCGTTCCTTATCCTTCCTCCATGGCCTTCCACTCTTCGCCACCTTTCTGCAACTCATGCGGCCGAGTGCAGCTTCGTCGCCTTTCGTTTTCGAGTCTTTGAAGCTTTCGACTTTCGACTGTCTGACTTCCAGACTTCAACGGCCATGCTAGCGAAAACAAAACTCGTCTGAGGCGGCGTCTGTGTGGTAGAGTCGGTGTGGGTGCCCTCGCGAGCATCTCAACGGGTAAAACATCGGGTGTCGGCCTGACTGACACGAGTCAGCGACAGCCGATACTGCTGTTGCGCCCCCTCTCACTCCTCCCCCTCTCCCACCGTTTCCCCACCCGATCCCCGTTCCCCCTCTCCCCTCGCCACATCCCCTCTCCCTCACGCCTCCTCTCACTCCTCCACATCTCCCACACTCTTCAGAAATAACTTCTGAGGCGCCTCAAAAGAACTCCCCCTCACGCCCCCTCTCACTCCTCCACATCTCCCACGCTCTCCAGAAATAATGAGCGAGTGCGACGTGCGCGTCTTCTTGACGAATACTCGCGAGCACCACCATAGTACCCATACCGCCGGCAAGCCCCCCCGTCCGCCTTCCCATGCCACGCTTGCCCGGGTTCCTGTGGACGAAAGATCTTCAAATGGGCGGGGCTTTTGAGTCAACTCGGCTTTTGAGTCGACTCAGCTTTTGAGTCGACTCGGCTTTTGAGTCGACTCAGCTTTTGAGTCGACTCGGCTTTTGAGTCGACTCTGCTTTTGTGCCGCCCCCTACGGCGTCCCAACGAATGGCTTTCATTCCATGGCCCTCCCACTTCCCACGCCAGGGACGGTAATTGAAGAACGAAAGCGAGTGGTGTGCGTCTGTGCCGCCCCGTACGCCGCCGGCGTCCCAACGAACGCTTTCCGTCCACGTCCCCGTCCGGCTTCCCACGCCAGGGCCAGTCCTGTCCTGCGGCAGGAGAGAAAAAGAGAGTGCGGCCGGCCGGGCCCGGGGGTGCATGTGTCTCCACCGCCCTCTACTGCCTCCTAGCGAGGAGCATTCCATCCACGCCGCCCTCCCGCTTCCCACGCCAGAGTCGGTCCGGCAGCAGCTGCCAGCTGTATTTTTGAGACGTCTCAAAAATAGCCTCTCTACACGCCAGAGTCGGTCCGGCAGGAACTGCCAGCTCATTTGAAGTGGCGTGCGAGAGGGGCATGTCTGTGTCGCCCGTTGATGTAACTGTGCGTCCCTGTGAGGGGCATATCTTTCATGCAAGTTGCTCCCATCCCCTCCCTTGTTGCTACATGCCAGGGCTGGTCCTCCAGGAGCTGAAGCAGGAGCTGGAGTGCGAGAGGTGCTTGTCCGTGTCGCCCTTGAATGTAACAGTGCGGCCCTGCGAGGGACATGTGATCTTTCATGCAAGGTGCTCCCCTCCCTTGTTGCTACATGCCAGGGTTGGTCCTCCAGGGTCTGAAGCAGGAGTGGGGCGCGTTCCCAGGGAGTGACACGTGGTTACCTAACAATGACTGTGGCGCCATGTCGGGCGTTATCTGCAATCAAGAAGGCAGTGTCCATCAATTGTAAGTCAAGCCAAGTCAAGTCAAGTCAAGTCAAGTCAGGTCAAGTCAAGTTAGGTCAAGTCAAGTCAGGTCAAGTCAAGTCAAGTCAAGTCAATGATGTTAGAAATAGGCTGTCAACACTTTGTGTACTCTATTTTATATGGTTTATGTTACTTTGTAGGTTGGTTGTAGATTTGTAATCCCAACCCTATCTGGTTGAGATTCCCTCGTAATCCTGCAAATCTGCCAACTCACCAATTGGAGATTTGCTAGGATTCCCATCCCATCCTTTCCCTAGCTTTGCTCAACCCAACCTTGTTTGTACTTAAGGCCTAGTGCCTTCTTTATCAACCAATCAGTTCAGCTCCAGTTCTATCAAATGAGTCTCGAGACGTGCTGCTGCTGCTGTTGCCCATGGTGATGTGAGTGATGATTTGCCTTGGCGGACCGACTTATGTGCACGTTGTCACGGCCGACAGATCTTTTCGTTGCTTGCAATCTTTGTGGGTTGTGATTCGTATATATGCTAATGTTCTTCATTTATTCATGAAATGGTGCGGGTTTTTTTTCTTTTTCTTTTTCTTTTTTTTTTCCCTGCATATTCACGCGCTTCATGTGAGTTCACGCCCATGGGTGGCTGTGCTTCTGAGGCGCCTCAAAAGTGGTCTCACAGGCAGCATACCCACCAGCATTGTCAACCTGAGAGTAGACATCATGTGAGTGCACGCCCATGGGTGACTGTGCTTCTTCTGTTGCCACATGTGCACGCGTGGTGCATGGCTGGGTGCATGGCTGGGTGCATGGCTGGGTGCACGACTGGGTGACCTCCTCCAACTCCCCTGCCCTCACCATCCGCCCCCAGCCTCAACACCCCCTTCCTGGCTCTCCTCCCCCCCCGGCTCCACCTGGCACAGCATTCTAAGAGACAACCACTCTCAGGGCCCCTCCCACCATTCGTCTTCGACTTTTGAGGCGCCTCAAGAGTCCTTTCCTGGCCTTAACCTCTCATCCCCCCACCCCCGCTCCCCCCCCTGCTCCACCCGGCACAGCAATCTGAGCAACAACCACCTCAGAGGGCCCCTCCCACCATCTCTCTTGGACACCGATAATTTTCAGGAATTGTGAGGAGGAAAGAGGAGGGAAGAAAGGCTGGGGTCATGCGATGGAAAGCTGGGAGTTTGGTTTGGGTTAAATTGGGCTGGATTTCGGTTAAGCTGGGTCCTGGATGGGCAGGTGAGGGGGTGAAGGGGGGTGTTCACGTTTTCAGAAGGGGACAAGGGAATAGTAGGGATAGAGTAGGAGGAGGAGGAGTGAAGGAGGTAGGGGAAGGAAAGCTACGTGAGGTGCGATGTGTGCGGTGTAATGGGGCCATACTGAGGCGGTGCTGAGCAGTGTGCGTTACACACTGTGAGGTGCCGTGGCGTGGCGTGGCATGGGGCGTGACATCACTTCTGAGGCGCCTCAAAAGTACACTCTAAGGTGAGGTGCCGTGGGTTTTTGAGTCGACTCAAAAGCTCCTCAAAAGTACACTCTGAGGTGAGGTGCCGTGGCGTGGGCACTCAGGCGTGACATCTGTCACCAAATATGCACTTTGTGCATATGCGATGACAGTGTTGCGCGGGTGTAGATTGGGGTGTAGCGAATGTTGTAATAGGACTCGAGGTTGAGTTGGGGGGAGGACGAAATTGACGTTGGGAATGGGAGGGAATGCACCGAGAGGCGAAATGCATTGAACCAATCAGGGAGGACCAGCCCAAACTCGAGCCGCACATTGTGAAATGTGTGACTTGAGCCTGGGCAAGGTAAGTGCAGTCACGAACACACAACCCATACTCTTCGCTTGTTATTCTCTCGTCATAGTGAAATCAGTTGCTTTAGATCCTACATCCAGTAGCTCGCCACTAGGAGGGAACCTACGGGGTGAGGAGTGAACTCGCTGAGGTGAAGCACCACACGCAAGGAAAGAAAGCAGAATGGCAACAGGAAGAAGAGCAGGTGCCAGAGGAAGGGTGTTCTCCGACACATCCCTCGACTCGACAATTATAGACGTGACAGGACGATTGTGGAAGGGGAAGATAGTAGGGAGGGGGAAAGGGGGGAAAGGGGCTGGATAATGGATGAATGCACCAACAAGGATCGTGGAGCTACGGAGAGGTGGTGATTGGAGTGATTAATCAAAATGTGATCATGGTGGGTGGGTAGGTGGGTGTAGGGATGAGCAAGAGGCGAACACGAACGTGTTCGCGTTCGCCCCTGCACGAACACCGCCGTTCGGCGAACCGAACACTGTTCGGTTCGCCGAACAGCTTAAGGTAAAAGAGGTGTTCGCCGTTCACCTGTGAAGGCGAACACCTTGGTTTCGGAGGCGAACACGTTCGTATTCGCTTTTGGCCATCCTCTGTTACGCTCGAAATACACAACGGCGGGCAGGGGAATTGCGGAAAACAAGGGAAAAAATATAGGCTGGATCTGGCTTGTGCTAGTTAGGGATCCATATTTTTGCTTATCCAGCTCGCACCTGGATTTCCCCCCCAGGTAAGGCGAAATGCTCTCTCCCCTCTAGATCTACGAAATTTGCGATTGCTCGCCACCCCCCCACAATTCCCCAACTTACGAAAAATGCGAACACTATTCCTATCAATCCCCAACGTACGAAATTCGCGAATGCTTTCCCCAACCTTATGCATACGAAATTTGCGAATGCTTACCCCCAACCAACCCCCCCAACTTACGAGATTCTGCAGTATTCCTGTCTAATCCCTTCCCGACAACCTAAATCTCACCTACCCAAGTCTAGTCAGACTAACCTTAGGCTACAATTTACTTACGCTAAGTCCTAATGAGGTGTTAATGGCGTGATGTGTGGGGGGCGTGGTAGTAATGGCTGCTGCTGAATAGCGCGACTATGTTTGAGCTCAAATTTGAGCTCAAACAGAATGTCCCGCAACCTAAATTGTAGATCGCGGGACAGTCGCGACGAACACCTTCGTGTTCGTTTTTGCCCCGGAACGAAAACGAACGTGTTCGTGTTCGTCGCGGCTCGGCACCCACGACGAGACGAACACCGAACGTGTTCGGGCGAACACCGAACACGTTCGCCACGAACATTTTTAGCCAAAAAACAATCCTGTTCGGTTCGCCTCGAACACGTTCGAGGCGAACCGAACAGGTGTTCGTTACCTAGCTCAACCCTAGGTGGGTGGGTGGGTGGGTGGGTGGGCAATGGAACTGGTCTGATAGAATGACATGCCGGGCCTTCCAAGGGGCATGGCAAGGGGCGGCGCGGCGTACGTCCATGGCTCCTCTGTTCATCCTGATTTCGGTTTCTCTCTCCAGTCATTCCGGTCCTCCTTCTGGTCGGAGGCACGAAACGGTCGGAGGCACGAAACGGTCAGAGGCACTAAATGGTCAGAGGCACTAAATGGTCAGAGGCACTAAATGGTCAGAGGCACTAAATGGTCAGAGGCACTAAATGGTCAGAGGCACTAAATGGTCAGAGGCACTAAACGTTTCGTGATTGTTGGGTCAAGAGCCGGTGATTCATGTCATGCTTATATCGTGTTTAGGGCATTATTCCTGCTGAGAACATGCTCACGTCATGCTGGTGCCTCACATGCTGAACCCATGGTGATCTCATGTCATGTGTTTGTCACAATGGGTGGGACTCCGTGGAATGGTGGGAGTGTGTGATGGATGCAGGGATCTCTCATACAATCAGCTCACCGGCTCGATCCCTACAAGCTACAGTCAGGGACTTGGATCCATGTTGCAACTGTGAGTGTTTACTTCCAAAATGTTCCTCTTCCCTTCCATCTCTGCTCCCCTTTGTTGTTCCAAACATTCAGCCACTTTCGGGTTTTAAACCCCTGTACCAAATGCTCCCACTCTCCTCCTGACCATCTCCTTGTCTGTCACCCCCTGCTTCCCCACCCCTTACTTTCCCACCCCCCGCTTTACCACCCCCCTGCTCCCCCTCTATCCCTCCCTGACCATCCACCTCTTCTCGCTCTTCCTCCCTTTCCACCAACCACCTTCTCTCGCTCTCACACCGCCCATTGTCTCAACCCCCCTTGCCGGCCCCACCCCTACCCTTGCACGTGCTCTGCCTGTCTCTCTGTGCTGCATGGCATCAGGCGGCTGCAAGGGAATCGCCTCACAGGCTCCATTCCAGGGGACATGCTGGCAGCCCTGTTTAATTTGCAAGAGCTGTAAGCACAGCACACTCCTCCCAGTGCCTACTTGAGTTTTGAAACGTTACAATACTGAATGGGAATCAAACCACGAGCTCCATTCCAGGGGATATGCTGACAGCCTTGCCTAACGCGAGGGAGCTGTAAGCACAGCACACTCCCCAACGCCTACCTGCTGCCCTCCGTGTGCATGCTGCCTCCTCTATGCTCGTGTGCATGCATGCACCACAAGAGTGCCGTTTGCATCTGTATGTCTCCCCCGTCTCCCTCCCTCCCCACCTGCCTTTCAGCCTTTGCTTGACCTCTGGCCCATTTTCTTTGTTGTGGCACCAGGCTCACTCTTCCCCCCACTCCCACTCCGCCTCCCCATCCCCATTTGCATTGCACCCCCTCCCCCATCCTCACCCCTCGTTGTGCTGGTTTTGTTCCCCGTTTTAACCCCCCATGAATGCTCCTTCAAACCCCCCCCACGTTGTCCCCCACACCGCTTCCCCTCTCCTTTCCTCCTTCGCCCCTTCCCCTCCCTGTCTTCCCCCTCACCCCCCCTCTCCCCCCTCTCCTCTTTTCCACCTTCTTTCTCCCTTGCGCTCTGTCCCTCGCAGTCTTCTCAACAGCAACCAGCTAGCGGGCAACATACCCATCCAGATCAGTGAAATGTTCGGTCTCACACGACTGTGCGTGCGCCTATGGCACCAAACCTAATCTACTCCATTCACCTTTAGGACGTCTTGAAATTCCTCTCACAACCTATGCTCAAGCTCATTCCTGTCTGTTTTACGCAGCAAGCAACCTGCGTTGATTGATGCCGTTCGTTGGATTGACCAACTGTCAGGTTCTTCTGATTGAGGGGGTCATGCTTTCATGGGCCTTTTGGGGACCATACCGTATTCACTCCATAGTCCCTCCTGAACACCAGTTGACTTGTTGTTGACCTTCGTTTACCCCTTGTTGACCGCTGTTGACTCGACCTTCCCTAACTAATGAGCTTATGATTGGACCATATTTGATCACACTCGACACTGAACCGTCCTGTCCTCTGCTCCATGCCACTCCCTCTATCTACCACGCTACTCCCCACCCCTTCCCACACCTCCAAACCCCATCCCACCCTTCCCTCCCACCCGTGTTGCATCACCTCCGCAACCAGAAACCTGGGGAGCAACCAGCTGACGGGAACGCTGCCCATTGGAATGAGCCTCCTGACACAGCTCCAGTCCCTGTAAGTTGCGCATCAGATTTGCAGTCGACACAGTTTACACCCAGCACACACATTTCAGCCCAGCTGGCAGGCAGATTTCCCTGACTGCCTCTCTAAGTGTTCCCTCCCTCCCTCCCTCCCTCCCTCCCTCCCTCCCTCCCTCCCTCCCTCCCTCCCTCCCTCGCTCTCTCCCTCCCTCGCTCTCTCCCTCCCTCGCTCTCTCCCTCCCTCCCTCTCTCTCTCCCTCCCTCACTCTCTCCCTCCCTCCCTCCCTCCCTCCCTCCCTCCCTCCCTCCCTCCCTCCCTCCCTCCCTCCACCTGTCCCTCCTTCCCTCCCTCCCTCCCTCCCTCCCTCCCTCCCTCCCTCCCTCCCTCCCTCCCTCCCTCCCTCCCTCCACCTGTCCCTCCTTCCCTCCCTCCCTCCCTCCCTCCCTCCCTCCCTCCCTCCCTCCCTCCCTCCCTCCCTCCCTCCCTCCCTCCCTCCCTCCCTCCCTCCACCTGTCCCTCCCTCCCTCCCTCCCTCCCTCCCTCCCTCCCTCCCTCCCTCCCTCCCTCCCTCCCTCCCTCCCTCCCTCCACCTGTCCCTCCCTCCTCCTGTTGTGCCCATTTCAAGATCTCTCCAACAACCCGACTTTTGCGAGTATTGCTATAGAAATATAAGAAGTCGAAAATATGCAATGCATGGAAGCGCCCTCCCCCCCCCTCCCCGCCCCCCCTCCCTCGACCGCTTGCACTCCCATCGCCCCCACTGCACGCCATCACCAGCCTCCATCCATGCTGCTCTCTACATGGCCCCTGCATGCATGCACTGCCGTGCGGATCATCACTTGCCACTGTGTTTCTCTCTGCCCCTGTGTTTCTATCTGCCCCTGTAAGTCCCCCTGTTCCTGAGTCTCCCTGTTCCTGAGTCCCTTGTTTCTGAGTCCCCCTGTTCCTGAGTCCCTTGCTTCTGAGTCCTCCTGAGTTCCTATCTGTTTGTCTCATATGCTTCTTCACTCTCTCCCTCTCCTCTTCTCGCTCCCCTTCTTTCTCTCCCACTCCTCTTCATCCCCTGTTCGCTCATATGCTCCCGCTCCTCTTTCTCACACGTTTTTCCTCCGCCCCCAACCCCATCCCTTTCTCCCCATACCCCATCAACCATTCTCTACTGCCGTCTCCCCCCTCTCCTTTTTCTCTCTCCCGTGCCCGTTCTCCCAACAATCTTCCCCACACGCTCTCCGTCCTTCCCTCCTCTCTCTGATACTCCCCATTTTCACTTCCCTTCCCCCTCCCACCCGTGTGCCTCCGTCCCTTTCTCCATGGTCTCGCCCTTGCCCGAGCCCCACGCTTTGCCACCCAGCAAGCATCTGTCACGAGATGCCCAAACGGTCCTGCCATATCCATATCCATCCATCTGTCCTCCCTCAAACGGTCCTTTGTATTAGTTATACCTCCCTATTCCTCTCTTCCTATCTTCCTAGAGCGAGGAGAAGGGGAAAGGAAGAGGAGAAACTAGCCTCCTCCAACCCAGAATGTCTCTCTTGTATATCCCAGCCCACTCCCTCTCACCCCCCACTTCCCCCCCTTCCCCCCCCACACTCCCCTCCGCTCACCTCCCATGTTTACTCCCATCCACGTGTGTGCCACAGGTCAGTAGCGAACAGCCTTATAGGAGGCTACGTGCACGAGGCATTAGCCATCATGACAACACTCACCCTGATGTGCGTCTTGCCTTCCTTCTTGAGACGCGTCAGACATCGCCTCACTACTACACTACAGGCGACGTGAACAAGGCAGTAGTCGTGTTCACAACTGTCACTGTGCTGTGCGTCTTTGTCACAGAATGTATTGTTGTTTGCAATAGATTCAGTTACTTGCTAGTGTAGGTGTAGTTGGGTTATTCGAAGTACTGTAGAAGGTGAGTTTGGGGCGTGGGGATTGACGCAAAGTGGTGATTCAGGGACTTGCGAGGCGCAGGGTGGGACAAATTCAAGGGCGAGCCCTGGGCAATCTGAAAGGCCAATCCTAAAGCCTAGCGGGCGGAGCCCAATGTGAGTTACGGGAAACTGCGCGGCACGGGGTAGAGATTAAAATAGACTAGGAACTCACTGCTTAGTTCGTTCTCTCGTTTGTTTGCCTAAAATAGTGGATTTACGTTGCCATTCTAACGCTACAGCAGCTAGGTGACTAGGCCACTGAGGGCAGCCATCGTGTGGGAGCCAGAATCTCTCACAAACGAGAGAACGAATTGGCAGTATGGACTGCCACGAGCTGCGCTGGCAGCGAACGTATTCGCGTCGGGAAATTCCGCCGTCGCGACGGATGCGCTCACAGGAGCGGGAACGATCGCCAGGTCGCTCGCCTAAGAGAGAGGCGGATCGGGCGGATCGGGCGGATCGGATGGCAGCTGGTGACGGACGGCGCGGTGGAGGCGAGACCGATCTGCAGATGAGATTGGCGACGAGGCCTCAGCCGTCAAGAAGCGGTCCCTGGGATCTGGCAAGAGGCCAGCGGGGCGCGGGTGAAGGGCATCATGAGGATGCCGACGAAACGGGATCGCTGATGTTGGCAAACGAGGCCGACGGCGAGGAGACGGCGGAGGATGATCCAAAGGACGCGGGAGCAGATCGCTTGCCGGACGACATGCACGAGGGAGGCGAGAGGCGCCGTGGAGAGAAACGCGAAGAGCGCGGAAAGGCGACGGGATCAAGCCGCTCGACAGACGAAGTTCGTGGGAGTAGCGCAGGTCGCCGCGGGAGCGCGGATGTGGATCGTTCTGCTGGCGAAATGCGCGGGAATGGCTCGAGGTGCCGCGAGAGCGCGGATGCAGCTGGTTCGACGGGTGAAATGCGCGGGATTGATGCGAGGCGCCGTGGAAGCACGGATGCTGACGGTTCGGCGGGCGAAATGCCTGAGAATGACTCGAGGCGCCACGGAAGCGCGGTTGCAGCAGGTTCGACGGGCGAAATGAGCGGGAATGGCGCGAGGCGCCATGGGAGCGCGGATGCGGGCGGTTCGGCGGGCGAAAGGCCTGAGAATGATGCGAGGCGCCGGGGGGGTGCAGATGCAGATCGCTCGCCAGCCAGGCTGCGCAGAAGTAATGCAAGGCACGGCGAAGGCAAGGAGGCTAAGCGCGCGCCAGAAGCCAGCCGTGAGGAAGAGAGGAGGCGAGACGTGCAGGCGGGAGTGTATGGCTCGCCTGAGCCGAGACGCGGACATGAGCGCAGGAGGCGCATGGCGCTGGGCGGATGGCGATCACCAGAGCAAGGGCGAAGGGAGAGATCGCCAAAGAGGGAAATAAGGAGTGAAGGAGAAGAGGAAGAGTACGCTCAGAGATGGAGAGAAGGGTCCCCTGCGGGAAGGAGGGAGAAATGGAAAAAGAAGGAGGGGAAGAGGAGCCCGAGCCCAGAATGGCACGGGAGGCAGTCACCGGCAGGGGAGGGATCAAGGGAAGCAAGGGCGGCCAGAGAAGGCATTGACCACGTGCTGTATGGGAAAGGAGCGAGGGATAGGGAGAAGAGGAAGGTACTTGAAGAGGAGTACGAGGGAAGGCGAGAGGGACGTTTGGAACCCGGTGTGGAGGTGAGGGAGAAGCAAGACGACAAGGTGCAGAAAAGGAGAGGAGAGGAGCAGAGTAGGCGACGGGAGATGATGCCTGCGAATGACTCAGAGAACGAGGAAGGAGAGCGTGACAGACCTGCACGCCACGGGTCGGGCCGTAGGGAGGGGCGCTGGGAAGAAGATTACCCCGAAAAGAGGGAGAGATCAGGGTGGGGATCGAAGAGATATGGGGAAGCTCAAGAGAGAGAAGGGGGAAGGAGCCCAAGTCCGACATGGCAGAGAAGGCAGCAGCAGTCATGGGCAGGCGCTGGGGGAGCAAGGGCAGCCAGAGAAGGAATCTATCAAGTACTGTATGGGACAGCGTCGAGGAGCAGGGAGTCGAGGGAGAGGAGAGAAGAGAGTAGCAGAAGGAATGAGATCTCAGGGTCTTGGGAGACGGGGAGGAGGAATGTGCAGGCCCCACCTCAGGTGGAGGTGCCAGTGCGCTTTACGGGGGGAGCAGGTTCCGGAACCAACCTGAAGAATTACCTGATGCAGATCGCAAACGTGAAGTACCGCTGCGATAGAAGCGGGATGGACCCGATAGAGTTTTTCTTAAGCCTGCCGAATACGTTGGGGGGCGAAGCTGAAACGCTGTACCGAATGAAGATGCCGGAGTGGCTGAGACGGGCAGAGGAAGATGGAGATGATCCCACGACGCTGTTCCTTGAGCGACTGAGAAAACAGTTCCCGGGCCACACGGCCGACCGTATCCGAGAGTTTCAGGAGTTTAGGCGGGGTAAGGTGGAGTCACTACTCACATACTTTGGGAGGCTCGCCAATCTAGCAGAGGATGTGGCCTGCACGGACAGCAGCATGTTAATTAGCAAGTTTCTGGGGGGGTTAGATGAAGGACTGAGTGGGGGACTGAGAATGAGAGTGTATGAGTTGGGAGCGGAAGCAACGCTAGAGGAGGTGTTTGAATTGGCAGAGAGAGTGGAGCTGGCGCAGAGGCGGTACGAGGCGTACCTGCCAAGGGTGTCAGAGGAAGGGCGGCCCAGGTGGGCTGCAGCGGTGATAACCGAGGACGAGGGTGAGGAGGAACAGTGGCAGGAGAGGCAAGCAGAAACACGGACGTGCCACAGGTGCGGGCAGGAGGGGCATATCAGGAGGGAGTGCAAGAACTGTGATGTGTGCAGAAAGCCTGGGCACCGCCGAAGGGACTGCCCAGATGTACCGAGCTGTGAGAAATGTGGGAAAAAGGGGCATCAGGCAAGGAACTGCTATGAGAAAGTAAGGGAGGCAGGGAGATCACCCGAGGAGATTGAGGAACAGATCAAACAGTTACGAGCCCAACTGTAGGCGCTGGGAGAAAGAACTCAGGGGCAAGCGGGGTTGTACGAGGAGGAGGAAGAGGAGCAGGAGCCGGAACGCTCCTGTGCGACGCTGCGTGGCCATGCGGACATGCGGCTGCACAGTGGGGGCAGGGACGTGCGAAGAAAGCAAGTGAGTAAGGTGGGGGCATGGGCGTGCATGTTAGTAACGCCAGCAGCAGCGGAAGTAGAGGAGAAGGATGAGAAGGTGGGGGCAAGAGCATGTGTACCAGCAGCAGCGGAAGCGGAAGTGGTGGATGAAGGGGTGGAGGCACGGGCATGTGTGGTGGCAGCAGCGGAAGAGGAAGGGAAATAAGAGAAGGTGGGGGCACAGGCGTGTGTAGCAGCAGCAGCGGAAGAGGAAGGGAAAGAAGAGAAGGTGGGGGCACAGGCGTGTGTAGCAGAAGCAGCAGAAGAGGAAGGGAAAGAAGAGAAGGTGGGGGCACAGGCGCGTGTAGTGGCAGCAGCGGTAGCAGAAGGGAAAGCCAAGAAAAAGGAGGCATGGGCGTGCGCACCAGCAGCCGCAGAAGCAGGAGGAAAAGACGAGAAGGTGGGGGCACGGGCACGTGTACTAAAAGCAGAGAAGCAAGCGCAGGAAAGTGGGATGGAGGAGCAGCAAGTGAGGAAGCTGTGGGAAGAACATCCAGAGCTGAAGGGGGAAGAAATGGGAAAAGAAGCCATGAGAGGACCCGAGGCGGATGTGAGGAGCATAACAGCAGAGGCGGCGTGTAACTGGGGGCAAGGTGACCTATGGGTCGCTCGATGGGAAGGTCCGGTGAGGGACCCGGCCAAGAAGCAGGAAGAAGCAGAGAGGGAGAGCAAGGAAGAGGGGGCATGGGAGTGCCTGACAACAGGAGAAGGACTGGAGCATACAGTGGGAGATGCGATGAGTAAGAAAGAACAAGAGGCCGTGAAGACAGTAAAGGGGATTAAGGGAGAGACATGGGAAGATGAGTCGATGGAGCCAGCAACACAGGTGCTGACAGAACCAGCGGGAATGAGAGTGGCTGAGAACTGGGTGGCATGGGACAGGGAGCATACCTGCAGAGAGGGATACGCTGGAAGTGGCACTGGATACACAGAGAAGAGAGACGCAGGACCTGGGGGGTCCAAGAGTGCTGGTGCAGAGGAATCAGAGAAGAGCGTAGACGGGGAACCGCCTGACGAATGCTGCAGTGGTGAGAAGCAACCGGCCTCAGCAAGAGTGTCCAGTGACACGTGCACGGGAGACCCGAGCACGAGCTCTGGAGGGGGCAGGTAGTGGCTGAGGCAGAGCAGGTAAGGTATCACAGGAACAGAGCTTGGAAGAAGAAGGGAGGGAGGGTGAGAGCAGGAAGGAGAAGGCAAGCCATGGGATGCCACAGATTATGAGTTTCCGACAGCTGTCACAGAATGTATTGTTGTTTGCAATAGATTCAGTTACTTGCTAGTGTAGGTGTAGTTGGGTTATTCGAAGTACTGTAGAAGGTGAGTTTGGGGCGTGGGGATTGACGCAAAGTGGTGATTCAGGGACTTGCGAGGCGCAGGGTGGGACAAATTCAAGGGCGAGCCCTGGGCAATCTGAAAGGCCAATCCTAAAGCCTAGCGGGCGGAGCCCAATGTGAGTTACGGGAAACTGCGCGGCACGGGGTAGAGATTCAAATAGACTAGGAACTCACTGCTTAGTTCGTTCTCTCGTTTGTTTGCCTAAAATAGTGGATTTACGTTGCCGTTCTAACGCTACAGCAGCTAGGTGACTAGGCCACTGAGGGCAGCCATCGTGTGGGAGCCAGAATCTCTCGTAAGCTAGTGGCTGAGGCAGAGCAGGTAAGGTATCACAGGAACAGAGCTTGGAAGAAGAAGGGAGGGAGGGTGAGAGCAGGAAGGAGAAGGCAAGCCATGGGATGCCACAGATTATGAGTTTCCGACATCTTGCCTTCCTTCCACTCCACTCAATTTCCCCTCTCATTCTCATTGCATGCTCTGCTGCACGAATGTTCTTGGCACATGCTGAGAAGCGGGAAGGAAGGGGGGAACGGTGAGACGAGGGGGGGGTTGGTAGAGTTGGTAATTTCAACTCATGCATGGGGCTAGCTAGTGCATGGGCCTGCCCTGCTGCATGAAGCTTATCAGTCTCTGCCACACTCCCTCACGGCGGTCCTGGATGCTGCAGAGCGGTTCTTTCAGTTATTTCGAGTCGAGTCGAGACATCTCACAGCTTTCTGCAACGTTCCTCACCCCTCCGTTGCTTGGTCTCTCCCATTCCATCACCCTCCACCAGAGACATTTCCAACAGCGAGATGACTTTTGAGTCGACTCAGAATCAAAAGTCATCACCCCTCCGTTGCTTAGTCTCTCTCATCTCATCACCCATCTCCCTCCACCAGAGACATTTCCAACAGCGGTATTACAGGAACCCTTACAGACGGAATGTCAGTCCTCCGTGATTTGCAAGAGCTGTAAGCTAACCACCTTACTCAGTGCCGTATCACTGTTCAGTTCACAATGCATACCAGCACCCGCACCAGCACCAGCACCAGCACCAGCACCAGCACCAGCACCAGCACCAGCAGTCTTACACCAGAAACCCAGGGTGTTTTGAGCCGTATGCCCCCCTCGTTGCATCGTGAATACAGCAGCCGCTGTAGTGCAACATCCTGCCTGCTCGAGTATTTATGACTTCCATTCAAAGAGATTTGTTGACCAAGTTGTGATTTAGCACCACAATATCCGGAGGAGTGTTGCTACAGTTGCAGCCATAGCTGCACATGCAAAGCATGTTTTATTTTATGTCTTGAGGAGATCTTGTTAATCAGTGAAATCATTAAACATACACCACGTAGGTCCCACAGGTACTCGTGAAAACGAAAAAAAAAGTTATAACACCAGATTTTCTAGACTGTAGATGATTACTTAATAGACCTCTTGAGACTGAAGCTTCTTTCCTTTCTTCTCTCAATAATCCACAACAGCTGCCCCCTTCTATTCCACCATCACGCACACAACTCCTTGTTGCAATGGCCACACCTCTCACCCCATTATTATATCCCCCTTGATTCATGATCCATCCAGTCGGTTTGCTATCATTCTCTGCCATTCCTGTCTCTCCTCCCACCCTCTCCTCCCACCCTCTCGTACCCTAACGTTTTACTTCTCCTAGGGGTGCTGAGACTAGGGGTGAGGGTTCTGGGGGTGCTGCCTCTGGGGGGGCTGCGAGTCCTAGTGGTGGTGGGGCTGTGGGTGCTCCTGCTGCAGGTCCTGGCGTTGGCCAGCAGCAGCAACCTAGTCGACTCGAGACGCCCTCACCGCAGCAGCTTCGTGAGTGGGTCGTTCGGCGAGGCCGCTCTGGTGCTGGAGCTTGAAGTTTTATAAGTCCTGGAGCTGCTGGTGCTGGAGGTACTTCTGGAGGTGCTGATGGTGCTGGAGGTGCTGCTGGTGCTGGAGGCGCTGGAGCTGGAGATTCTGGAGGTGCTGGAGCTACTAGCACTGGAGGTGCTAGAGTTGCTGGTCTTGGAGGTGCTGGAGCTGGAGGTACTGGAGGTCCTGGAGGTGCTGGAGCTACTGGCACTGGAGGTGCTGGTGCTGCTAGTGCTAGAGGTGCTCGTACTAGAGGTGCTGGAGCTGCCAGAGCTGGAGGTGCTGGTGCTGCTGGTGCTTGAGGTGCTGGAGGTGCTGGAGGTGCTGCTGGTGCTGGAGGCGCTGGAGCTGGAGGTACTGGAGGTACTGGAGCTGGTGGTCCTGGAGGTGCTCCTACTAGAGGTGCTGGAGCTCCCGGAGCTGGAGGTGCTGGTGCTGCTGGTGCTGGAGGTGCTGGAGGTGCTGCTGGTGCTGGAGGCGCTGGAGCTGGAGGTACTGGAGGTGCTAGAGGTGCTGGAGCTGCTGGCACTGGAGATGCTAGTGCTGGAGGTACTGGAGCTGCTGACGGTATGGGTACGGCGCCGCGCCTACCGTTTTTCTACCCGCAGCCGCAGTCGTCACTGCCACCGCCTGACTGGGCCCTTCGCCAGGTTCTTAGTCTCCCGTCTTCCACTGGCCTCACTCCACCTCTCCAGTGTCCACCGTCTGCCCCGTCTCAGACACAGTTGCCGCCTGTCTCTCCACTGCCTGCTCCTTCTCCCTACACCGAGCTATCAGACTCCCTGACTGAGCGTCGTGAGCTTGAGTCTCGTGCCTCCACACCTGTTCGTGCTCGTCGTGTCGCCCGTTCTCGTCCTCTTGCTGTCCCAGGCACTCACACTATGGCACTTCGCCCTTCCTCTGTTCCACAGTTTGTTGCCCTGCTGCCTCCTCCGGCGTCCTCTCTTCCTGACGTTCCTGACCCTGAGTCCGGCCTTGCTCGTGCTGCCAGTCCTACTGTCACTCGTCTCTTCGCCACTGTCGTCACTGACCCTTCCTTAAAGTCTACTCTGCGTTTGCCCTAGTCACTGAGCTAGTCGGCTTTGCTGCTATGCGTCGTCTCGACTACGTTGCGAGTCTTGTTACCGAGTCTGAGTCTGTCTGTCCTCCGTCCGTCGGGGGTGAGCCTGCCCTTAGCAGTGACGTCCTTGAGGACGGGCAGTTTGAGCTTGAGTGTCTTGCGGTCGCTTTACCTCGTTTCGCATCCATGCTGCTTTGCCCTGAGGGAGACCCGGATGCACTTGACTTCCCTACCCCGCGCTCTTACGATGAGGCGATCACGGGTGAGTACTCCTCTCAGTGGCAGACAGCCATAGACACAGAGATGGCTTCCTAGAAGTCCACATGCACCTACTTCGACAAGGTTCCTCCTCCTGGGACGAACATAGTCGATGGCATGTGGATTTTCAGAGTGAAGCGGCCGCCGGGTTCTCCGCCTGCCTTCAAGGCGCGTTACGTTGCTCGAGGCTTCAGTCAGCGACAGGGGGTCGACTTCTTTCAGACCTTCTCCCCCACCCCGAAGATGACTACTATTCGGGTGTTGCTGCACGTTGCAGCACAGTGTGACTACGAGCTGCACTCCCTTGACTTCTCCACAGCTTTCTTGTAGGGCAGCCTTCACGAGGAGATCTGGCTGCGCCGCCCACCTGGCTTCACTGGGTCGTTTCCTGAGGGTACCCATTGGAGCCTACGGCGACCAGTATACGGCCTGCGTCAGGTGCCCCGCGAGTGGCACGACACACTGAGGACGACACTTGCGGCTCTTGGGTTTGCTTCTTCGACTGCTGACCCGTCGTTGTTTCTACGCACCGACACTACTCTGCCGGCGTTCTACATCCTCGTGTACGTCGACGACTTGGTTTTTGCTACTGCTGACACAGAGGCGCTGGCCCTAGTGAAGGCGGAGCTGCAGGAGAGACACACATGCACTGACTGGGTGAGTTGCGGAACTATCTTGGCTTGCAGATCACCCGGGACAGAGCACGGCGCACCATCACCCTGAATCGGTCACACATGGTGCACCAGGTCCTTCAGCGTTTCGGCTTCACATGGTCCTCGCCACAACCCACTCCTCTGCCTACATGCCACTTACTCTCAGCTCCACCTTCGGACGAGTCCGTAGAGCCGAGTGGTCCGTATCCAGAGCTTGTGGGTTGCCTCATGTACCTGATGACGTGCACACGACCGGACCTCGCGTACCCTCTCAGCCTCCTGGCTCACTACAGTCCTCCCGGTAGACACCGAAAGGTGCACTGAGAAGCTGCTAAGAGGGTACTGCGTTACTTGTGCAGTATATCGGGCATGGGGCTTGTGCTTGGAGGACGGGACTCACAGGTCACTCAGACGCTTCCTCGGCCGACGACCAGGCAACTCAGCGGTCGTCACAGGGTTACACCTTCAGTCTTGGCTCTGGTTCTGTCTCGTGGAGGCCCACTCGTTCGTCGTCTGTGCTTGGTTCCAGCTGTGAGGCCGAGATCTACGCTGGGGCTATGGCTGCACTGGAGCTACACTGTTGTTGTTGTTGTTGTTGTTGTTGTTGTCGTTGTCGTTGTCGTTGTCGTTGTCGTTGTCGTTGTCGTTGTCGTTGTCGTTGTCGTTGTCGTTGTCGTTGTCGTTGTCGTTGTCGTTGTCGTTGTCGTTGTCGTTGTCGTTGTCGTTGTCGTTGTCGTTGTCGTTGTCGTTGTCGTTGTCGTTGTCGTTGTCGTTGTCGTTGTCGTTGTCGTTGTCGTTGTCGTTGTCGTTGTCGTTGTCGTTGTCGTTGTCGTTACGCAGGTAAGCCATGCGAGTGGTGCACGCAGGTAAGCCATGCGAGTGGTGCACGCAGGTAAGCCATGCGAGTGATGCACCCTTATCGCCCAGCTAAGCTATACGAGTTTCCGCCCAGCATGCGCCCAGCTAAGCACTGTGTGTGATCTGATCTGTCCAACTAAGCCATGTGCACAATATGCGCACCTCAATCTACATACATACACAGTGTACACACAGCTGCATAAACAGCACCGAATATTGTGTGAATGTTTTGTGCTGCGTGCGCGCTTATGAATGCTTGACCCGCATTGATTGATAAGCCATGTAAGCTATGTGGCTTATCAATGGATAAGCCATGTGGCTGCATAAGGGTAGTAAGCTAACATCAAACATTTTTCTTGACGTTTAGGCAAAGATAAATAGTATCTGAGACACCGCAGAAGTGGAAATGAATTAAGGGCGACAAGTGCTAGAACCAGGAGTGACAGATCGGTTCAGAAGGGCACATGTTGGTTTTGGTTGTTCAATGCAACCAACCAACCATACCCCCCAGGACGAAATATGTAGCCCTCCAGGGCATATGTTGGTTATGGTTGTTCCTGAACATCCGTGTGCACCAAACGGATCTCTCAAACATCCGTGTGCACCAAACGGATCTCTCAAACATCCGTGTGGCTGTGCACACCGAGACTTGAACTGGTGTGCAGCTGTGTGCACCGACCGCCTGTCTTGGTCTTTGAACAAGATGACCAGTGCACCAAAGCAGACGGCGCGCACCAAGGCATGAACCCCACGTTGCTTTGATACCATGTTAGAAGCACCACTCTCATAATGAGCAACAGGACGGACCACGTGAATGCCCCTTCCCCTCTCCTGAGTTCCCCCCCATCCTTTCCCCTTCATGTTGTCCCTCCCAACCTCTCCCCTCTTTCCGCTCTCCTCTCTCTCTCTCCCTGCAGTGACCTGAGCAACAACCGTCTGCATGGAACCATCCCCACTCTTCTCACAGGCCTTGTCCGTCTCACCCTCCTGTATGTCCATCCCCCACTGGCCTCCTTGCATCCCCATTCTTTAGCCCTAACCCTGCATCGCATTTGATGCTCCTCCCACTCAACCTCCCCTTCTCTTTTCTCCGTTTCCACATCCCCTGCGTGCCCTCCCCCCTCCTCCCAAAGAACCAGTAACCATCTCTTGATCCCCTCATACGTCTTCCTTTGACCTTACCCCCCACCCTTCCTTCTTTCCCATCCTCCCAACCCCCCTCACAGTAACCTGCGCAACAACCAGCTGACAGGTCCCATACTGCAGCCCATCCCATCATCAGTCACCGTCTACAATCTCGACCTCAACTACTTCTCCTCAGGCTTCTCCTCCCCACCTGACTGCTACCAAGGCTCCATCTCCTTCCGCTTCAACTGCCTCGAAACCCCCACCCAAGGCTTTTCCTGCCCCACGCCAGCCACGCCCTCTGCTGCGGATGCAGCGGTGCAGCGACCGGAGGAGCTCTGTGCTGCCTTCTGCGGTGTGAGTGCTACTGATCCCCCGTGCGACGGCCATGGCGTGTGCTATCTGGACGGCCCCAGCAGAGTGCCCACGTGTGACTGCGAGTCTGGGTTTGTCAACGGGGAGTCTCCTGGAACCTGCGTCGTCGAAGGCAGTGAGTTGGGGTGGAGGAGGGTGGGGGATATGGATAATGGAAGAGGGGAATGAGGACGGTGTGGGCTGTTTGGGCTGTGTGGGTGGTTTGTGTGTGTGTGATTATACGAAGTTTGTAGAGAAAAAAGCGATTGGATGAAAAGGTCTCCAGCTATACATATTAGTGGGAGTAACGTGGAGATGGTTGGATTCTTGACCAATTCTTTTGGCTCCAAACAGTAATTTGGGTTGGAGAATTATTGGAGGGTCATAAGAATCATGGTAAAATCTGAGACATATTGTGGGTCAAATAATCTCCAACCCAACTAGTTGTCCAGGTTCCAAACCCCCAACTAGGGTAAACCCTGGTTGTGCGCCCAAACGAAGTATGGTGGCTATTCTACCCAAGCTAATATAGGCCACCTGCAGGATACAAGAGGAAAGCCCAAACTATAGCATTCTGACAGAGCGTGCTGTGCTTTGGGAAAGCCACGACATGGTTGTTGTTGGGCTCGAACCTTCCTGCTCAGGTCTCGAACCTTCCACAAGGTTGGCTTGTGGGTGTGCCTCAGGGCAGGGCAACCGAAGCGCTGCGTTCTGAGGCGCCTCAAAAACTATTTCTTGTCATGCCGTCCTGTTGAGACGCCTCCTCAGAGCCTTTCCCTCTCCCCTTGCTGTTGAACCCACGCCCTCTCCCTCACCGGCAGGTGAGGACCCAGTAATCGTGCAGCCAACAGCAGCACAGACAGAAGTGAAGGGGGGGGCAGCAGTGGCAAACGACGGGAGCATCTCGCTTACAGCCTCACAGCCCAACACGTGGGGTGCAGCGTTCCTCCAACTTCCCATCCCACTCTTCTCCTTCTCCCTGAAAGCCGGTGCCTGTGGCCGCCCCTTGGCCTTCACCGTCTATTTCTCCTTCTCCATTCTCAAACCAGCCACCGCCAGCAGGGCAGCAATGACAGCAGCAGGAGACGCAGGCGACGGATTTGCGTTTGTGATTGCAGCCACTGACGCTGCTACGGGTGGTAGTAGTGGCAGCAGCGATGGCAGTGGGGGCGGCGGCAGCTTGGGGTATGCAGGCATGGATGAGCGCAGCATTGCAGTGGAGTTTGATACTGCTAAGAGCACCGATGCCAACGACCCAGACAACAACCACGTGGGAATCAGTGTGAGGGGCAACACCTCTTCCATCGCAACAGCCAAAGTGCCCTTCACTCTCAACGACGGCAGGCCAAAGCAAGCCTGGGTCGTCTTTGAACCCTCTCCTTCCTCCTCTGGCGGTGCTGCTAGTGGCAGCAGCAACAGCAGCGGGGGCAGCGCGGGGTGGCTGCGGGTGTTTCTGTCGGCCAAGGGGTCCCCTCGGCCGAGCAAGGCAGTGGTGGCGATGCAGGTGTCGCTGTGCGAGTTCCTGCAGCCCAGTGCAGCCGAGGCATCGTTCCTCATGGGCTTCACTGCTTCATCTTCTCATTCCCCACAGCTCCACTCCATCCTCGAGTGGAACATCACCACAGGTCTGTGCTGTTGCTCCCTGTTGCTTCCTGCTGCCCCCCCTCCGTTCTCCTCTGCTCCGTTCTTATTGCTGTTTCCTTCTGCTCCTTGCTTCCCGCCTATTGCCGTGCGCTCCGCACTTGTTCCAGCACAGCTGCTGCCATCCCCCTCCTCCATCTGTATCGTCCCACTCCATCCTTTACTCACTCTCCCACCATGAATTGCCTAAACTGGCCCCTTCAAACCTCGCCCCTAAACCACACCCTACCGCAGTTAACATGTATATGTGTTACGTTCTCTTTGCTTGTTACATTTTCTAATACATCTCGCTGTCTGCTTCCATCTCCCCTTGTCTGTCCAGGCCTTCCCGAATCAACCACCCTTACAGGTATGACTGACTTGAATTGGCTTGAGTTCGCACCTGTTTCTGTTTTTGTTGCTTGGGTCTCTATTTTCTTGCCACCCTTCGTTTTTTCTTTTCTTTCCCTCCCAGAGTCCGCCTCCCAATCTTCATTCAACACCTCCTCTCATCTGCCCCATAATCCTCCCCATCACAATCATTGCCACTTGACCCATTAACTTCCTTCCCACTCCCCATCCATCTCTCATTCCCCCTACCTAACCCCATCCTACCCTACCCTGCCCTACCCTACCCCAACCAACCGTGCCCTCCCTTGTCGACTCCCCCTCTCAGGCCAGCAGTTTGGGTTCCAGTTCAGCGAGGCATCGCTGGCACCAGTGGGGGCAAACCTGTTTTTCCGCTACGCCAGTGCGGGCGTGCAGGCACTGCTGCCAGTAGGCGGAGAAGGAGGGGAAGGGGGAAGCGGCAAGGAGGAGGAGGTGTGGGTGGTGAACCAGGCGTTCTCCTGGACCGACCAGGGGCTTTCATGGCCCGTCCAGAACCAGGGCGCCTGCGGTGAGGGCATGCGGGTGGGGGTGGGAAGGGAAGGGATGGGGTGGGAAGGGAGGAAACGTAAGGGGAGGGGATGGGATGGGATGGGATGGGATGGGATGGGATGGGATGGGATGGGATGGGATGGGATGGGATGGGATGGGATGGGATGGGATGGGATGGGATGGGATGGGATGGGATGGAATACCGTGTCTTTGTTTCTTACTTGGTTGGGTAAGGGGGCGCAAATGAATGAGAGGGCATGCACTGTTAAAATGCTTTCTGGTAAGAAGAGGGATGTGTGGCATTTGTGGCTGGTGTGGTTTCTCCCCTCCTGCCATGCCCATTCTCCCCTTCCCGCTTTCCCCTTCCCCTCCCACTCCCCTCTTGCTTCTCCATGTCTCCCATGCCATGTAGCTGCTATGCATACACAGTCATGGGCAGCATACAAATCCACTTTAGCTTCACATGCCCAACCTCTCCCATCATTCCACTTCTCCCCCCCTCCTCTCTCTCAGGCGACTGCTGGGCGTACGCGGTGGTGGGCAGCATAGAAATGGCATACGGCATTCTCTCCAACCTCACCATCGTGCCACACCTCTCAGTCACCCAGCTGCGCAGCGCCCTCGGCTCCTCATGCTCACAGGGCAACTCGCCCTCCCAGGCCTTCCAGTACCTCGTAACTCTCAACGCCAAGAGCAAAGTGGGGCTCACGGAGGATGGCGGGACCGGGGTGGTGGTGAGCGGGGGCGGGGCCACGAAGAGCAGCAGCCAGAGCCCTCTCTGTAGCATGCCCATCTTAGCTCTGCTCGCACAAGCACTTGGGATCCCCTGTGGCAAAGGCCGGACCCCCGGACCGGTGGGCAACTCTTCCTTCCGTTTTTATTTTGTTTGTTTGTTGTTGTTTGTTTGTTTTTTTTTTTTTTTTTTTTAGATCTGTAAAGCAGCCTAATGTGGCGGCGCTTTCTACGCCCGTTTCTTCTTGAACCGTGGACATCCATTTTTTTCCATTTGAGGGCCGAAACATGCGCTTGGGTTCATGTGGTTGATTTTCCAGCTGAACCTTTTCTCCCACATCAGGTCGCAGTTCCACTGTCCGGTTCTTCAAACTCAGCGAGTACTTTTCCTGTCCATCCCATTGTCGTGATATGCGTTCTGACGTGGTCCATGCATGGCTTCTGTTGCGTTGCACTGCCCCCGTTTCATGTGGTCCAGTCCTCTCCCCTACCCCACCTACCACATGTCCCCTCCCATACCCTTGCTCCCCCCTCCCGTTTCCCTCCTCACCTACCCCTCCTTCCGTACTTCTCCTCCCCTACCTTTCCTCCCCTACTTCTCCTCCACTGTCTCCACGGCAGAGCAAGCCATCGGGGGGGGCGTTCAGGGTGAATGGGTTTGAGCGCACGGCGTTCCACGGCTGGTTTGGCCTGCTGCTGGCCGTGCAGCGACAGCCCGTGGTGGTGCATGTGCAGGCCACCGTCCCCTCCTTCCTTGACTATGATGGGGTGAGTGCACACCCACACACACACATACACACACGCACGCACGCACGCACGCACGCACGCACGCACGCACGCACGCACGCTCACTCTCTTACACACCCACACCTGTCGTGGTTCTCCCACAACCTTAACAACTTCTCCATACCCATGCGCCCCCAAATTCACTCCATCCCCTTCCCCACCAGCTATCCAAGTACGCGGACCCCTCGTGCTTCACGTACAACCTGAACCACGTGGTGCTGCTGGTGGGCTATCGCCTCACCGGCTCAGACCCCACCTTCCCGCACATGGCGCCACCCTTCTGGATCATCCGCAACTCATGGGGCCCGGAGTGGGGCGACGGCGGGCACATGCGGATGGACATCCAGGGGGGCGACGGCGTGTGTGGGATCAACACGCTGCCTGGGATCTACCCGGTGGTGCGCGCTGCCAAGGACCCCTGCAACGTCAACGGCACCACCAGTGGGGTGTTTGGGCCGCTCTTCAACCCCTGTGGCAACTTCACGTGCACGCCCACGCCTGATGGGGCCAGCAACCACTGCGACTGCAACGACCCGCGATTCGTCGAGGCGCTTCAACCAGACAACTCTCGCACCTGTGCTTACAGTGAGCGTTCTCGCCTGTCTCCATGCAGTCACATCACAACTGTGCTGACAACATTTCCATCCCATCAATTTCTGCAATGGTGCTATCGGCACCACAACACAGTGCTTTAATTGTTCACCATCCTTCATTCAGTCACCTCATAGCATGCTCGTCTTGCCTGTGTCTTTCATCCTTTGTCGTGTTCCCCAGTGGACGCGTGCAGGGCAGCGGTGCACAATCCATGTGCAGTGGGCACGTGTGTGAATGATGGCAAGGGGTCATACTCGTGTGTTTGCCCTCCGGGCTTCAGGCAGGGCACCACTGTTGATGGCACCTTCTCCTGTGGTCCAGGTAACCTTTTCGTGTGATGCATATTCCACTCCTCTCTTGCGCTCCAGATCCACCTTATCCCACCCTTACTTATGCGATGCTACCATCAAGCATACTTGAAAGACGGCCTTCTCGTCTTTAAGTTGTCTCAATACTCAGGCCACACATGCCACACATGACACGCACGTTGCCATGCTCGCCTTACAACTCACCATCATAACAATTAGTCCCAAATCACTCCCGCATGCCTATTCCCACCTGCTCCATTCTATCCGCACGCACCACTCCCATTTGCACCGCACATCAATCTGCACCACTCTGGACCGCACTGCACAGGGGACTCCAGCAGCACATACAAGGTGGTGTCGTTGGGTGTCACGTGTGCCGACATCCACCCCGTCTACGGCCTCACTCTCGCCCACCTGCAACAACAAAATCCTGTGAGCATCGTGGTGGGCCCATGCCTTCCTGCTGCTTGCTCTTCTCATTCCCGTGAGGCTCTGCCCACATTCTGCTCGTCCGATCCCCACCCAACAACCACATCTTGCCTCTGCCATCCCCTCTCCCATCGTCTCAGCCCCTCCCTTCCTCACTCCCCTCCCTTTTTCCTCTCCAGGGTTTGAGCTGTAGCGCTCCTCTTCTTGTCGGCACGGTGGTGAACGTGGTCCAGCCAGCCGACCTCACGCCCTGCTCTGTCTACTACACCACATCAGAGGTCCGCGCCCTCTCTTTCTCCCTCCTCTCACTTCTACCCCTCCTCACTCTCCTCTCCCTACTCTCCCTCCTCTCCCCTCTCTCCCTCCTCTCGCTCCTCTCGCTTCTCTCCGTCCCCACCTCTCGGTCTACATATCTCTCTCCACCGGCTGCCCTGCCCATGATCCCAGAGCCCAACGCGGCCCCCCAGCCCTGCCCAGCCGCCCTTCTCCCAGGACTGCCTTTCCATGTCTCCTTTCATCCTTCTCTCCCATCATCCACTCTCCTTCCCCATTTCCCACACTCTCTCCCACCCCTCCTCGCTCCCATCCCCCCCGGGGCGACACATGCGAGTCGCTAGCAAAATACATCTCCCTCATCGGCTAGTGCTTTGAGCCCTCCTCGTTCTTCCCTTCTTTGTTTCAGCATTTATTTCTCTCCCCTGCCCCCTTCCCCCTCTCCCCCCCTGTCCCCCACCCTCTCATCTCCTCTCATCATCCCCCTTGGTCCCTCCCTCTCGTCCTCCCCCCCTCCCTCCCATCCCCCCAGGGTGACATATGCGAGTCACTAGCCACCTACTTCGCCCTCACAGCCGGCTGCCCCACTCCCACCGAGCCCTGTGCAGCGGCCTTCCAGGCGCTCAACCCCGGGCTGGACTGCTCTGGCAGCGGGGAGCTGCTGCCCAGCCAGGCGGTGTGTGTGGAGCGGCGGGCGGAGAGTGCAGCGGCGCTTCTCATCCCGGTGTGTTCGCAGTTCTATCTGGTGCAGGCCGGGGAGACGTGCGACCAGATCCGCTCCGTGCCCTCCCCGCCGCTCTCCCCTCTCGAGTTCTTCCGCCTCAACCCCGGCATCAAGTGCAGCCGCCTCGTGCCCAAGACTGACGTCGGCAGCCTCACAGGCTTCGAGGTCCCCCTCTGCTCTCCACTTCACCCTTCCCTCACACAACCCTCTTTCCTCCTGCCTCTCCTTTCCACAGTCCTACCAGACCTTCCCTATGCACTTGGATTCCCACCTTCCCCATGCACTTGGATTCCCACCTTCCCCATGCACTTGGATTCCCACCTTCCCCATGCACTTGGATTCCCACCTTCCCCATGCACTTGGATTCCCACCTTCCCCATGCACTTGGATTCCCACCTTCCCCATGCACTTGGATTCCCACCTTCCCCGTGCACTTGGATTCCCACCTTCCCCATGCACTTGGATTCCCACCTTCCCCATGCACTTGGATTCCCACCTTCCCCGTGCACTTGGATTCCCACCTTCCCCATGCACTTGGATTCCCACCTTCCCCATACACTTGGATTCCCACCTTCCCCGTGCACTTGGATTCCCACCTTCCCCATGCACTTGGATTCCCACCTTCCCCATGCACTTGGATTCCCACCTTCCCCATGCACTTGGATTCCCACCTTCCCCATGCACTTGGATTCCCACCTTCCCCATGCACTTGGATTCCCACCTTCCCCATGCACTTGGATTCCCACCTTCCCCGTGCACTTGGATTCCCACCTTCCCCATACACTTGGATTCCCACATAGGTTCACACTCAGGAATGCTTGACAATTCCTTTCTCACCTGGCCCGCTGCTTCTTTGTGGATAAATATCTTTGCAGCTACTTATCTATTTCACTACCTACCTGCCTACCTGCCTACCTAAATACCTACCTACCAACCTACCTACCTACCTACCTACCTACCAACCTACCTACCTACCTACCTACCTACCTACCTACCTACCTACCTACCTACCTACCTACCTACCTACCTACCTACCTACCTTACCACATCCATGCCGTTCTCGTCCTTTTCACTCTTACCCCCACTTCCCCCCTCCCCACACCCTCTCCCTCCTCCCCACGCACACTTGACAAGTGCAGGCGTGCATAGGCAGCTCGTTCAGCTTCACGCAAGGAGTGTGCCCCAAGACTCGCGCGTACGTGGTTGGGACTGGCGACCGCTGCACTGGCCTGCAGGTCAAGTACTTCCGTGGAATCAAAGGGTGTTACAGGAAGACTAACGGGTACGATTGCATCGATAAACTCGTCAAATCGACCAGAGTGTGCATTCCGGACCAAGTGAAGATCAAGGCCGGGAAGTGCGAACCCTGATATAAACTCTTCCCTGCTTATTTATCTCTCTCCAAGGGGGTGGTACACCCCTGTTTCTCAGAGTTCTGATCCATGTACATAGAAATGTTTCCTTAGTGGAATTTTGCAGGGATAATCGTGTCCTTTGCAGGAATTAGGAAACCCACTCACAAATCCGTTCCTAGGGTTTCGGCACCCATACCTCCGAGTTTAGAACGGCTTTGATGTGACACCCACATCTACAGTGCTCCGCCTTACTGCAGCGTTGGCAGGCCGCCTTCTATGTGTTCCTCGAACACTCAAGTTCAGGGTTATCAGAAATTTCTTGTCTGATTGTCTGAATTTCAGACTCGTTCTTTATGGTTCATGTGAACCTGTAGACATGGTGTCCTATTTCATCTGAATCATAAGACAAGCTCTTTATATTCATCTGATTTTACAGTTGTCTGAAACTACAGACATCGAGTTCTTCTTCGTCTCAAACCGGCAACTATTCCCGCCTGGCCTGTTGCCCATAATTCCCGAAGATTCGCGCCACCTGAGATTTTTCTGCAATTGATTCGATCAAATGGCAGAGAAATCTGAGGTTGCGCGACACAATCAATCTTGATTCGACCTTTGGCATCTTCCTTCCAGCGCCAGGAAAAGGCCAAGGTCGCCGTCCTGGGGTGCGAGTGTTAAGAATTAACAAGCAGGAATGGTGTAAACTATCGAGAGAGTTGGTTCAAGTACAAAACCTTAAGGGGTTGTACCCCATGTTGGCTACCCCACTATAGCCTACCCATTATACCATAGCATATATATAGTTTGACACACCCCCATAGGCAAAGTGGGGGAGAACAAGGGGCCACAAGACCAGTCAAGAAAAGCAATGCAAGCTCAGGGTGGATCACAACGTCACCACACACTCCGAGCACAAGCAAAAGGGCCACAAGGCCAGTTCACATGCAGAGGTATATATGCAACAACAACAAAACAGTGATCACTACCTAGCAAGAGTAAACATGCAGGTAGATATATATAGACCACAGTACAACCAAAGTCTACACCAAGTGAGGAAACGTAGGCACCAGGCCTAGAGCAGTGCAGAAGCGCTGATGATCACCAGCCGGAAGGGCCTTGGTGAACACATCAGCCGTGTTCGCCCGGGTGGGCACGTGGGCGACACGAAGCTGACCACACTGCTGCAACTCTCGAGGAAGGAAGTAACGCAGAGCGATGTGCTTCGTTCTGTGCTCCAGTCTGTGGTCCTGACACAAGGCAATGGCAGCCTTGTTGTCGACGTACAGAAATGGAGGAGAACGAGGCCTCTCTCCCAAGTCGGTCAGCAGGTAGGTGAGCCAGCGTAACTCCTGTGCAGCCATGGCTGTGGCGTAGATCTCAGCCTCACAACTGGAGCTGAGAACAGAAGACGAGCGAGTAGACCGCCAAGAAACAGAGCCAGAGCCAAGGCTGAACGTGTAACCCTGTGACGACCGCTACGTAGCCAGGTCGTCAACCCAAGAAGCGTCTGAGTGCCCAGTGAGGACAACTGAGCTCCGCCCTCCAAGCACGAGCCCCATGCCCGATGTACTGCACAAGTAGCGCAATACCCTCTTCGCAGCATTGAAGTGCACCTTTCGGTGCCTACCAGGAGCCACGTAGCGTGCCAAAAGGCCAAGAGGGTACGCAAGGTCAGGACGAGTGCAGGTCATCAGGTACATGAGGCAGCCCACTAGCTCTGGGTACGGACCACTCGGCTCTACGGACTCGTCCGAAGGTGGAGCTGAAAGCGAGTGACTTGTAGACAGGGGAGTGGACTGTAGCGAGGACCAAGTGAAGCCGAAGCGCTGAAGGACCTGCTGCACCATGTGTGACTGAGTCAGTGTGATGGTGCGCCGTGCTCTGTCCCGGGTGATCTGCAGGCCAAAGTAGCTGCGCAGCTCACCCAAGTCTGTGCACGTGTGTCTCTTCTGCAACTCCGACTTCACAAGGGCGAGAACCTCAGTGTCAGCAGTGGCAAAGACCAAGTCGTCGACGTACACGAGGATGTAGAACGGCGACAACGAAGTGTCGGTGCGCAGAAATAGCGACGGGTCAGCAGTGGAAGGTGCAAACCCAAGAGCCGCAAGTGTCGTCCTTAGTGTGTCGTGCCACTCACGAGGCGCCTGACGGAGACCGTAGACTGGACGGCGGAGGCTCCACTTGGTACCAAGAGGGAACGACCCAGTGAAGCCAGGTGGGCGGCGCATCCAGATCTCCTTGTGCAGACTGCCCTGTAAGAACGCTGTGATGAAGTCCAGAGAGTGAAGCTCGTAGTCACGCTGAGCGGCAACGTGCAGCAGCACCCGAAGAGTGGTCATCTTCGGGGTGGGGGAGAAGGTCTGGAAGAAGTAAACTCCCTGTCGCTGACTGAAGCCTCGTGCAATGTACCGAGCCTTGAAGACAGGCGGAGAACCCGGCGGCCGCTTCACCCTGAAAATCCACATGCCATCGACTACGTTCGCCCCAGGAGGGGGAACCTCGTCGACGTAAGTGCCTGTGGACTTCCAGGATGCCATCTCTGCGTCCATGGCTGTCTGCCACTGAGAGGAGTACTCACCCGCGATCGCCTCAGCGTAAGAGCGCGGGGTCGGGATGTCTGGAGCATCCGGGTCTCCCTCAGGGGCAAGCAGCATGGCCACGAGATGAGGCGCAGCGGCTGCAAGACACTCAAAGTCCTCCTGCCTGTCCTCAAGGACGTCCGTGCCAAGAGCACACTCACCCCCGACGGACGGAGGACAGACAGACTCAGACTCAGCAACAAGACTAGCAGCGAAGTCTAGACGACAGGCAGCAGCAAAGTCAACAAGCTCAGAGACTAAGGCAGACGCAGCAGCAGACTCAAACGACGGGTCAGTGACAACAGTGGCTAGCAGACGCGTGTTAGTGGGGTGAGCAGCACGAACCAGGTTAGACTCAGGGTCCTGAACGTCAGGCAGAGAAGACGCAGGAGGAGACGGCAGGGGAACACGCTGTGGAACAGAGGAAGGACGAAGTGCCATAGCGTGCGTGCCAGGAACAGGAGGCGGACGCTCACGAGGAACACGACTACCAGTGCGACGCGCGCAAACAGGCGAGGCAGGACGAGACGAAGGGCTCACGACGTTCTTTAAGCGAGTATGTCTGCTCATTGTAAGGAGAAGGAGCAGGCAGTGGTGCGCCGGGCTGTAACGGGAGGCCAGTAGAAGACGGGAGGCTAAGAACCTTGCGAAGCACGGAGTCAGGCGGTGGCATAGACGACGGTGACGGCGGAGCGAAAAACAGTCGCGGCGGTGCAGTGCCACCAGTACCAGTAGCTCCAGCGCCTCCAGCAGCTCCAGAACCTCCAGCCCCAGGGCCTCCAGCAGTAGCACCTCCAGCTCCAGTGACTCCAGCAGCAGCACCTCCAGCTCCAGCACCTCCAGCAGCTCCAGAACCTCCAGCTCCAGCGCCTCCAGCAGCAGCACCTCCAGCTCCAGTGACTCCAGCAGCAACACCTCCAGCTCCAGCTCCTCCAGCAGCTCCAGAACTTCCAGCTCCAGCGCCACCAGTAGCAGCACCCCCAGAACCGGCGCCTCCAGCCCCAGGGTCCCCAACTCCAGAGTCGACAGTAACAGCTCCAGGGCCTCCAGCAGCAGCACCCCCAGAACCGGCACCTCCAGCTCCAGGGTCTCCAATGCCAGGGTCGACAGCACCAGCTCCAGGACCTCCAGCCCCAGTACCTCCAGCAGCAGCACCCCCAGAGCCGACACCTCCAGCTCCAGGAGCAGTACTAGTCCCGGCAGCTCCACTACCTCCAGTACGAGCACCTCCAGGACCAGAGACACCAGCACTCCCAACGCCTCCACGACAAGCAGCTCCAGCAGCACGACTCCTCAGGCGGGTACGCGACGCAAGCCACTCTCGTGCCTGCTGTGGTGAGACAGGCCCGCGTCGTGAAACGAGACCCAGAGGAACGCCAGCAGACTCAGCACCCCCCGACCCGGCACCCTCCGGCTCAGCACCCCCAGGCTCCGCACTCGTAGGCTCAGCACCCCCAGGCTCCGCACCCCCCAGCACCTCACGGACGGGCTCAGCACCCCCAGACTCTGCAGCCGCAGGCTCAGCACCCCGAGGAGTAGTACCAGTCCCGGCAGCTCCAGTACCTCCAGTACGAGGACCTCCAGGACCAGAGACACCAGCACCCCCAGCGCCTCCACGACAAGCAGCTCCAGCAGCACGACTCCTCAGGCGGGTACGCGACGCAAGCCACTCTCGTGCCTGCTGTGGTGAGACACGCCCGCGTCGTGAAACGAGACCCAGAGGAACGCCAGCAGACTCAGCACCCCCCGACCCGGCACACTCCGGCTCAGCACCCCCAGACTCCGCAGCCGCAGGCTCAGCACCCCCAGGCTCCGCACTCCCCAGCACCTCACGCGCAGGCTCAGCACCCCCAGACGCAGCACCCCCAGCAGCACCTCCCGCAGCAGCACC